TAATGTCAAATCCGATATTGTCAGGCATGTTAAATTTGACGTAGGCCAAAGTGTAGCATTTCTCAAATTTGGACAGTTGCTGACTGATAAACAGCGCACCTGTGGAAATACTTGCAAAGCTAGTTTCAGTCCTCTATCTGACAAGGCAGGCGTCTGTTCTCTTTCAATCATTAAGCCATGCTGTTGGAGCTCCTCTTCTGTGTATTTCCCTTTTTCAGGAAAGTCATCAGTATAACCCAGGTGAAGACATTCAAATCTTGGATACTCTGCATGAGCCATTAACAATGCTGAGAAGACTGCATCCTTGGTCAAAGAAGGCTGAATGCAAAGTTCTTCTAATCGAAAGGCAGATACTAGTACCAGGTAACCAAGATCTACCTCAATGGCATCATAGCACAATGCAAGTGAAACTCTTGTAAGGTATCGAAAGCTGCCTAGTCGCCAATTTTCCTCAACAACATGCCGAAACACACCACCTGGAAAAGGAACACGCACTAATTCAAGGCGTTCCAGGTGTGCAGCTCTACCTAGAGCATGGAATAGGGGAATACAAACTCGTGGACTGAATGAACCAGTTTCAACAACACCCATACAGTTTTTCATAATAAAGTGTTCTAATTTTGGACATGAAAAGTCTTTGAAAGGTTCATGGTCTGTAAACTTAACCCATCGAAGTTGAAGAAACGTCAAACCCTCTATTGTGGGTAACAATGGAACTGTTACACCTGTTAGTACCAGCTGGGATAATTTCACTCTGCTTGGAATCGACAAAAAACTGTGTGGAGAGATCGGGAACTCTCCACCTCTGTTGCGGAAACCTCCGGCAATTTTCAAATTTGGATTGATTGCCAACATGGCGTCCAACACTTGTATGTTAGAAGTGCCGATTGATTTTAGCTTTTTACAGAAAGTCAAAGCGGCAGTGATTCCATCAACGCTTAACACGTCTACGTGTCTCTGTTGACGTTTTGTTAGCAACGTAGGATGTATTCCGAGCACACTGTTTACCTCTGGACATCGTTGGAGTAGGCGCGAAAATATACCGTCTGTTACTAATGAAGACATTTCTCCGTACCATTTCCCTTCGGTAAAATCAACCGATTTCCTTGTTCTCAAATGGATTGTTGTGGCGAGTGAAAGCTTCCTGCTAGTCGTCTCGAGCCGAAGTATTTCTTTAAGCGACAAGGAAGACATAATCTTTACCAAGATCTCCAGAGAAAAGTCAGCCAATGAAAGTGAACATGAATTTTCCCTCGCGTAAGATGTCGACGTTTCTTTTTCCATAGGTTTTTCGTCATCATCATCTCTCTGATCATCCATTTCGCGATGACTGGTACTTTTAAGATCACTCTCCTTTTCTTTTTTTAAAGGAAACAAATTTATATATCCCAAAACTCAATGTTTCAGGGACATTTTCAACTTAACGAGGAACTCTCGAAGAGTGCGATGTTCATGGCCAGCAGTAATATTTTTAGAGTTTCTGACGACTGTACGAACACACGAAGTGGCAATGAAAAACATGGCGGACGAATTGTGGTGATGTACATACATACATACATACATAACTTTATTTGATAACGCAGGTTAAAATTTGCGCAACTTTACAGCTGATGTGGACCTGCCTAAACTAATTAGTCTATAATTATATAAAATACAGATATGATAAAATTTATAAGTTGAATAAATCAAGTAAACCATAAAGTTTTAGTAATAGTGAAAATTTGGTTTCATGTTTTGTATAACATTACCTCCCTTTTCAAAATTAATATTCATAACAGTTTGCTTGGATTGTTTTAAGTTATATTTAAAAATAGATAAATTTGGAGAATCTTTAACATTATCGGGAAGTGCATTCCATGCTACTGCAGATCTATGAGCAAAGGACCTACGACCCAATTCGGTTTTGGGCCTATTAAGTACAACATTCAGGGATTTCCTTAGGTTATAACTGTTAGAGTTCTTGGTCACCAAACAATTAATTTCCGCAACCCTAAATTATAATAAGCATTATATGTAATAGTTAAGATACGTAGCTTATAAAAATACTCTAAAGGCATCCAGCCAACCTTAGAAAGTACATCATTATCCCCAAAACTATTTGGTATCTTATGAATTAGCCTGGCAGCCCTGATGTGAATCATTTCTAGATCTTTAAGCTTGGATCCAGACCCCCAAATTGCAATTCCATATAGAACACTTGGTATAACTATCCTATAGTAAAAAGTCTCCAAGATAGATGTACATAGGAAATTTATACGTCTCAACATTTTAACTTTGGCATTAAATGCAGATCTAGCCAATGCAACATGCTGAGACCAAGAGAGTTTATCATCAATTGTAACCCCAAGGCAATTGGTGGAGGACACATACCGAATGGTGTCCATACCCCACTTCAGCTGTTTCAAAGGACCTATGAAGGGGTAGTACTTAAGACCATTGCCTCGGATTTACCTTCATGTAGAATCAATCTGTTACTAAGACACCAGGAATTAACCTGGTCCAAAACAGCCTGTAACCCTGTTGTTATTTCATCAACAGTATTCCCTACTACATATATTGTTGTGTCATCAGCATACATATAGACTTCTCCACTGGTAATAGATTCAGGGAGGTCATTAACATAAGATGCAAACAATCTTGGTCCTATTAAGGATCCCTGAGGGACCCCAGCTCTAATGGGGATTCTATCAGATCTAGACCCACTTACACTAGTCCCTTGTACACGGTTGGAGAGATAGTCATTGATCCATTTCCACATATCACCTGCCAAAGCCAACAGCCTTGAGTTTCTCAGTAAGAATACTGTGGTTGACACAATCAAAAGCTTTTTATGGAAATCAATGAATAAGACTCCAACCTTATGGCCTCTATCCAGGGCACTCCCCAGGACTCAGTGAGATGAAGGAGGAGGCTCTCCGTTGAATAGCCCCTCCTAAATCCCCATTGTCTATCTGTGAGAATGCCATTGGATAACATGTGATCATCAAGTGAGTCACACACTACCTTCTCAAGAAGCTTTCCTGGTGTACTAAGCAAGGATATAGGTCGGTAATTGTTAGGATCCAGCCTGTTCCCTTTCTTAAAAACAGGTGTAACTAATGACTCCTTCCATTGTTGAGGGAACTTACAACAGTCCATGCTTTTTGAACACCTCTAGCAGACCCTGAATAGCAGAGTCCTGTGCCAATTTAAGATCTTTAGGAAAAATATTATCAGGGCCTACTGCTTTGTTTGGATTAATAGACTTCAAAACATCTCTAACTATATCCCAATTCAAAGAAAAATTCTCTATAGTGGGAGTAATTCTATTAATATAAAAAGTAGTATCTAAATGTACTGGATCCAAGTTCTTAGTAAGATCATGTGCAATATCAATAAAATAGTTATTAATCAAATTCGCTTTCTGCCTATCATCTGAAATAATAGTGTTATTAGAATCTTGTAGGGGACCAATTTTATCACTTTTGGTCTTACCAAGTATACGATTAGATATTCTCCAGAAATCTTTAGGTGAAGAAGATTCTTTAAATAGCCCAATCCAGTAAGAGGCCTCAGCTTTTCTGAGCATACTTCTAACAGCGTTTCTTTTAGCTCTATAGATGTCCCACTGAGGATTATCATGGGGTTTACCTTGAGCAGCTTTTAAACACTTATACCTTTGATTCATAGCCTTTCTGATTTCGGTATTGATCCAGGGGAGTGACTTGTGTCTGACCTTCACATTCCTTCGTTTGATGTTGGACTCTTTAATGTCTTTAAACATGGTTTCCCATAAGTAAACACTGTCCTCAACATCCTCTACAGCAGACACAATATGCCATGGAGCTTCCTCTAAGGACCTCTGGAATTTTTCATTATCCATTTCCTTATAGTTCCTTACTGTAATAAGCTTAGGCTTTGAATTACTCCTCCTTGTAGAAAAGGCAGCAAATATAAGATGATGGTCTGAAATGCCCAGGTCAATAGAACCAGCTAAGACATTTGATGCATGCAAATTAGGACTAACAATAATGAGGTCGATAAGTGACTTAGAGTTAGCTGTGATGCGCGTTGGTGATTCAATGACGTTAACGTAACCAAAACGCCTAAGAATTCTTTTCATTCTATTACAGTCATATGGCGCATCTTGATCTGTATCTGCCGTATTAGCTAAGAGATTACAGTTAAAATCACCTAATAATATGACATTCTTCCTCTTGATCCATATTTTATTAAGCAGGTCATGTAAGTCATCATAAAACGTGATTGATTTAGGTGGTCGGTATAGGCAGCCAAGTAAAGTAGACTGTGATCTTATGGTAATGTTAATCCATACAGCCTCCAAGTCCTGATGAATGTCCCACTTTAGGTTTTCAGAAATGTTCAAATTATCGCGATAATATATTACCACGCCGCCACCTTTCAAGCCATTTGATCTATCTCTTCTCACCGTGTTATAACCATATATTCTTATTAATTCATTTGATAGGTCTACGGTCAGGTGGGTCTCAGTAACGCCCAGGATGTCGAATTCAACCTCTTTTAATAGGAATTGAATTTCAGACAATTTATTAGTAAGACCATTGATATTTATGTGTCCAATCTTTAAGTTCTTGTTGTTGCCCATCGTAGTCTTTAACGTAGTGAAAACATCTTCGTCAGGTTCAGACACCACGTCATCGTCAAGGTTTAAGTCAAAAGAACTGGCATCGGCAAAGGGAAGAGCCCTCAGTTCACAGAAAGGGCAGTTCAGAAGAAATGATCGAGGAGTTGAAGTTTGTTGTATTCACTTGGGTTAACTCTTCCACACTTTATGTGGCACCAACGGAGACAGATATCGCATTCTATTGCACGGTGAGTTTTGGCGACAGCGCATCACTACGCATTTCATTGGCTTTTCCGAAGGCTTCGACATCAAAGAAGCAACAGTAAAAGCGAAACTGAACCAGAAAAGCATATAAAGTGACGGAACTCCAAGAAAAACGTCCAACCGCCATGGCTGACCACCGCTGACGCTGGAAATGCCTCTAATCAAGGAAGGACTTTTTGTCGGAACACGGGTTGATGCAAGCAATTTAGTAAGTGTTAAGTTACCAGATGCCACTTTAAGAATCCTCACTGTGGACAGTGAACCGCTTCAAATCGAGGAAGATGGAGTTTCGACAAAGCATGTCACTTGCCTGGACGAACCCGAAGCAGATCTTCTAAGTTTCTTTGACGAATGTTCCGACTTCATCACAACTGGTTTACAAAACAAGCAAACTGTGGTCGTTCATTGGTAAGTACAATTCTTGGAGGCTGATTTTTAACGGATTTTCACAAAATACGGCGAACCAAATTAAACATGCTGAAATGCGTGCGTGGTGAAACCTTGAAGCTTCTTCTTAAAATCAGGAAACGCGGAACGCTGGGGATACTGGAATGTATTAAAAGAAAAAAAGGATTTAATACCATTTTTTTCATGTCATTGATCTAGGTAGAGCATGGTTATGCAGTCCCCTTACACTTAAAAAGCTAATCTGATTCATGGCAGTAATCCTACAAGACTGTGAATACTGCATTTCCTACAGACCTTAACAAGGCATTACCGTGATTTCTGGCTAATTACCAGCCAGTAGTCTGTTAATTTTTCAACGAACAGTTGTTGGTGCGGGTTATAGTAAGGGGCAGGTATTATGATCATTTTTAAAGCTTCTAGTATAGTTTTAAACCAATAAGCAGAGATAGCAAGATCCACTAAAGATACTCTCCAAAAAACCTGTGTAATAGCTCATTTATGTCACGCAGATTGCTCTCAATGAAAGCTGATGCAAATCAAAAACATATCTAAAAAACTTGATAACAAAGTTTTTATCTTGTTTGTACTCTTACTTTCTTACCTTGTCAATTTCAAAGCTTGTTTCTTTGTTTAGTTCAAAAAACAATTCTCACTTACACAGGAAACGAACTTGAAAATAAAAGAATTCAATTGTGACAAAGCAGGCTTCTGAGCAATTCACATGGAAAATGATGTCAACATGTTCATTTCATGGCGCTGCATAATCAATGGCACAATATAATATTTGATGCATCAGTAAAATTGTACAATGTAGTTGATCCAACAAGTTCTGTTTACTTTGATCTGCAGCCTAGAGGGCATGTCACGCAGTGTTACTATTGTCTTGGCCCATCTGATGAAATCAGACCAGTTGTCAGTGGATGAGGCTGTTGCTTTTATGAAGAAAATTTATCCCAAAGCCAAGTAAGATATAAGATAAAATATCAAAACCATTATTAATCCTTTAACTCCCATGAGTGACCAAGACAGAATTTTTCCTTACAATATCAATATAATATCAAGGAGACAAGTCATGAGAATAAAGAAAAATAGCAATTAGGGGATTATAAGTTGATTCAATACCAAATTCTCCAAACCAACATCACGAGAACTGTATGGCAGACAGTAAGGAGAATTACTAAATTAAATGAGATCTTGGGAGTTAAAGGGTTAAAAGAAATTAAAGTTTCTTGGGAAGCAAACATTCTTTACAGGTTGTAATACCTTAATAATACCACACATGTAACTTGTACATTAAACACTTCAACAAGGACATTTATTTATTATAGGTATTGTGCTACAAATTCATTTTATATTGATTTGTGGTTGATTGATTGTTTTATTGCTTAATTCATTATTTTTTAGTCCCAATGTTGGCTTTCTTGAGCAACTTCAACTTTACGAAGCAATGGGAAGTACAGTTGATAAAACTCATCCTGCCTACAAACAATACCGCCTGCAGCTGTTGGCCAGTCAGATACAAAGTAAGTCTGTGATGAATGTTGAAAATTAAATTTTTTCAGATATTAGACTGTGAGTATTTACCTAGCTTTTTAATTTCTAAGACATTCAGCTATAGACTTGCTCAGGGCAATTTGGTAGAAAAAAGTTTCAAAGCAGAACTTCATTGTTGTTTGTTTTCATCACCTATATTCAATGTTCATCAGAATAATTTTTATGAATGATTATTTTTAAAATGTATACAAATGATTAACTAGTAATAAGATATTTTTTTATTTTTCCTACTCTTAGGTACACAGTTGGTGACAAAAGATCTTCTCTCATCATTGATTGAGGAACTCAAAGACAACACTGCCTCAAATGACAAGAAGTATAAATGTAGAAAATGTAGGTAGGGAAATCCAAATAATATAAATTTCAACTTTTGAACTTTTATTAATTGGTAGTCTTCTTTCAACTTATGTCACTTTCAAAAAGACTAATTATATTTCAAGAGTAATTTTCCAAACAGCATTGGAGGTACTCAGATGTCCATAGGTTCTTTTTTCTATTGGGTTCACTTTTTCACCTTGTAATTTTTTGTATCCCATTCATCTGAATAATTATTCTCAACATTACTGCTTGATATCCTTTTAGTGAGTTCTTTGCTTATTACTGTGCTTGCCAGAGTGCAAATATTGTTTAAAAGACTTCTTAAAGGGAGTATGTCATTTGAACTACTTATTAAAAAAATGAAAATGGTTAGTGGCCCACTTAGACAAAGCTTATCCTGGTTTCCCCAGCATTAATTGATGAGGAGTATCACTACCCCCCCCCCTGGATGGGATGCCAGTCTATAGCAAGGTTACCCTCCAGCATTCATCAGGCTTCCCTGACAATTCGCTGGCACCCATTTGTACTCCTGGGTGGAGAGAGACACTGTGAGAGGGAAGTGTTTTTCCCAAATTACAACACATTGACCCAGCCAGGTCTCAAACCCACACCTCTCAATGCAGAGTCCAGCACACTAACCCTTAGACTGCAGCTTCTCCAACAAATGCTAATAAGTAACATGTTAAAGGAAATGTTAGGAAATAGGTAGTTAATGTTTCCTCTGCAGGTTTATGTTATTTGGTGGTGATTCAAGCATTGACCATGAGCCTGGCAGTGGTCAAGTGTCATTCAGGCGGCATAAACAGGATTCCAGTGCTGTAAACTGGAGTAACAGTAGCAGCAAGGGTCCATGTACATCCCTTTTTATTGAACCTGTGAGCTGGATGCTTCCTTTACTTGAGGGAACAATTGATGGAAAGGTACTAATGGTGTACACGCAGCTTAATAAGCATATTGCATGTATTTCATGGCTTCTTTTATGTTTTGGGAAAATGAAGTGCTATGTAAATTGTCACAGTGCTGATTCAAATTTAATCCATTAACTGATAAACCTTTAACTTTGTTCATTCTGGTGTTCTCAGTCCTTCCTTTGTTCTTAATGTCAATTTCCTAGTCATTCTGCTAGTTATTTGAATGTTCAGTTGTTTTTTGAATAATCCAATCCATTCAGCGGTTATTCACAACTGGTATGTTATTAAATTAATGACACACTCGCAGACATTCAGCAGTCCAGTTATTTCATAACTAAAACAGCCTGTTAATTTTTTTCCAACTTATAAAATGTCTGTGTACACTTTTAGCTTCCTTGTCCTAAGTGTGGTGGAAGACTGGGCTCATTCAACTGGGCAGGTATGAAAAAGTTTCACTGTAATATAGTACCCTATGAAAAGTGATGCTTAGTGCAAAATTCCTCAGCCAATTACCTTTAAGGCTACATTTCTATGTATGAGAGCTATCCATATATAAATTGATGTGATACCAAGTAAAGTTAGAAATCATTTCTAAGAAATTTTGCTTGTCAAAGCCAAGGAAGTATGACTGTCACCTTCTTCAGAGAAATCTTGCTTTACGTCAGTTCTACTTTTGACACACCTGAGCACTTCAGACTCATTGAATAATATGCTTAATATACTATGCTACTTGTCACAGGTTAGAAGGATCCTAAAGAAAACCATAAATGTAACAACAAGGAAGCAAAAGAAGACATGAAAGTTCATTTTTCAATTGCCCTTTTTATCAAGTGGTGCCCTTGTGACATCTTGACATCTGCTAGTTTCCTAAATTCAAGCCATGTGATGATTTGTTAAATATATTGTGGTATAAAGTAACTTACATGCACCTACTTTTAAATTATTTGGCCAGGAATGCAGTGTTCTTGTGGAAAGTGGGTGACACCAGCATTTCAGATTCACAAAAACAGAGTTGATGAATCAAGGATAGTATGCCGATCTTTTGTTCAACCAATTCAACCTGAGCAGAGTTCAAGCTAGGACAATGTCTTGCACTTCTGTCAGTATATCCTGTCCAGGAAAACAACCAAGCCCCTTAATTAAATAAAGACACATGGTTTGGCTACATTCAACATCTCAAGTTTCTTTCAATTGGTACTGTCCGAGCAGATAAGAGTGAATACTGCTCAAGGTCATGTACTTCACATACAGATTTAAAGTGGCTTAGAGGCAATAACGACAAAAATCATACAAGAGAGACATGCACAACAAGCCTAAAATTCATCACCCTCTTATAAATCTAAAAAGAGGAAATCCAGTATAACTGTGTGTGCAACTTGTGATGATAAAAATGTTACTTAGGTAGGGTCTAATGAAGGGCCACTGAAGATGCCATCACATGTAAGAGGCAACAAGAATCTTTTGGTCAAATTTTATTGTTTGAATTAAACATTTTAACCCTACTTTTCAACAGCACAGGCCATTTACTTTCTCTTGACATGGCAAATCAGAAGCTTCATTAGCTAATTTAAAGCCTTCAATATCTCCTGAATAAACTTTTCTAGCTTTCTTGCCCACTCAACAAGGCATCAGACAAACTATACATTATTCCCAGTCAAATTTGAAAGAGCAAGTGGGATTTTAGACTTTTAGTTCTAGCTTAATAGCATATAACTCAAGTCACACACTTCTGCTAGCCCTACACTGATATACATAGTATTGTCTTTTTGATCTGATGTAGGATCTCCACCAATGGTCAATTAACTGTTACTACATCCACTAATGGAATTTAGTTTACTAATTATCATTCTTTGACTATAGAAGTTAACCTATGTACTCAGACCATTAAGCACAGAAGTATTTTCTTTTTTTGCCATTTAGCACAATCAGGCTACATTTCATGGCTAATGACACTTCTCAGTACTGTGCACTTTATGTATATCTAAACCTCAAGTTCTGGATGAGTAGTCACTCTCTTTCCTTTTACATTGAATTATACTGTAAGGCCAATCTGTGAAGTGCTCAAAAGTACATGTACACCTCTTAACCTACTTCTGGTAGTGCATGCACCTTTCATTTTGGAAAAAAAAATTTTAATAACTTGAACCTCTCTTTAACTCAAAGCATTTTTCATTTCCCTTCAGGTCATTCTCTACATATTTTTACCATTTATAACTCAAATCACATCTGTCAATACATGACAAATCAAAACAATGTACTGCAGTCTAAATCATTTGTTGCATTTAATTTCTACAGTAATTTATTGTTCCATTTTCACTTGACTTCTCTATAATTGAATTTTATTAAAATGTATAAGGTATGAATAGAAAAACAGTAAAACACCATTTTTCCTTTGTTTCCAGTCCTTTGTTCCAACTCCTGAGAGCTTGAACTCAAGCCTTTTTCAATTTCCCTTCAAGGTTCAAGTTATCAAATTTTACTGCAGTATTACGCCATCATTTTTTAACACTATGTAGAGAAATAGTATTGAATTACAATTTTTTTACAAAATAACATCTGTTAAGTTCCAAAAAAACAAAAACCCCCTTATGATAACAGTGATTGTCAAAAAAACACAAAAACCAAATAGTTACCAAGTACTTTTGAGCACTTTCAGAACAACCAGAATACCATGGTCAAATGATGATTGCCTTGGTCAGTATCCATGTCTTTTTAATTATGACCAACTTGATGTGTTTTGGTTAGGGTTGATTGATTATTTGTTCTAGCAAGCAAGCACATCAGAGTCAGAGGTTGAAGGTTCTATTTCTTTATCAGTGCTGCAGCATTCAAATGCACTGAAGGATTCACACTGCCTTGGATTCAGAATGTGGATCAATGGCAAAAACACAACCATCCATAATGGATTTTCCTTTTCCTGTGACGTGGAGGGCATCACCTGCAGTTTAAAAGAATTTGAAAACTGATAAAAAATAAACGGTCTTTTTAGACCTTGAGGCTTTTGCTCCTAGCAAGACAATTACATCCATGTATTATGGAGCAGAAGGGGAATGACAACTTAGCAAAGAACTGCCAATATACCCATCATTTAAAAAAATTGCCCACCCTTCACAATCTATTCTATGGGCTGATTGATACTTGTAAGAAAGGAAATGTTTAAAATATTCAAAATCCACCTTGGGATAAAACAAACAACTGACAATCTTCACCAGAGGCATTAGACACAAGTTGTTGTCAGTTCTTAAACTGTCCTGGCTACTCATTGTTATGTGTTAATATACAATCAAACATTCAACAATATATAAATTAATCACACCAAAGGCAACCAAGCTTCATTTATAGCTTCTAAAAATTGTAGGGTTTGTCCCGAAGTGTTAGATAACTACCCCGTCTTTGCCATTCCTATTCTTTTAAACACACCTTGTGAAGTCTGTGACAGTGAATAAGGCCATCACTTCCAACTTCAAACACGGAAAAGCCATCCAGATATCTACATACACAAAGTAACAGTTAGTGGATGATAAAGAACATTTGAGCTTTGGAAAAAATAGCTGCAAGAGCTGGCAAATTGATTCCCTAGCCTCTGTTTGAACTACAAAAAGATACTAAGTACCAGTAGTCTGTTAGATCAATTACAAAAATTTTTCTCTCTAAGTTTGTTGAAAAAGAAACCACATAACAGATGCCAACTGGCAAAGAAGAAACAAGCTCCAGTGGCACATGCATCTCTAAAATTTGTGTGGTGCTCTCTTTGTTTAATTTATGTAGTATTCTTAATTTGCCCCACAAATATGAGGAACAGAATTTGCTTGTATAAAACAAATCAAGGTATCTGCTCACAGACTAAAAGCTAGTTCAGCTTAAAACCATATTGAGACAAAGAAATTATCAAAATGCACCCAAAAAAATCCAATATAATGTGTACCTGTAACCATAAGAATCAGCTCTGACTTTTCTTCCAAGGTAAGGAACTAATTTTCTAATTAATGGTACTCCCTTAATCCTCCACCGCACTTTGATTGCTGCTTCATTTGGATGTTTGGTGATTTTAAGGACCTCAACAGACAGCTCTGTCATGCAGCTCAGCATGAGCATTCTCAAGCCACTTACTTGGCTTCTGTATGGATAGATTCCACTGAAAATACAATGATGCTGTGACCCCTCTCAAAAGGGATGCATTTTTTCATATCATTACTTATCATTAAAATAAAATTAAAGTGCAAAACAAAGTTTATTGTTACATAACTGACATTTTGTTGATGTCCTTGACAAAACATTAATTGACAACAGGCACGTTTGGCCCTAATTGTTAAAGTGCTTTTCTGAAAGACTGTTGCAAAACTTAACCCAAAGTTATTACACACAGCTGCCAATCTAACTCACATAATAAGTTTATCAGGGAAACAAAGAACACTCACTCAGACCAAGTAAGATGATTGACCAAACACAAGAGTGTGGAAACCAAAAGGTTTATTAACTACCACTGAATGGTTTTAATCCTACACCAGTCTGGAAGTATGGATTTTTTAACACTCGATTGAATAAATCATTCAAATGAAAAACTAGATCTTAAACCACATAACAGTGGTGTCAGGAAAACTCTATGGACTCAATACTTCAATAGAATTAACATCCTCTTTAATGTGATACTCCTACGTAGATCAATGAAACAAACTAGGATAAAAAGGGCTGAAACAACAGGCTTGAAGAAAAAATCCAAACAGAGATTAACTATCGAATAAAATTCAGAAATAAATGATTTATTAGACTTACTGTGTTGTGACTCCAGTGATGTTGTTAACAAATTTAATTCTCTTGTTGTATATTGCATAATTGGGCTTCTTCAGAAAGAATAATGGAATCTGCATGATTGAGTTTAAAAAAACACAACAGTTATACTGAACTTCATCAAGGAAATACCAAATTCTCATTGTTTGAATTTCTAAATGTCAAACTTCAACAATTAAACCCTCTGTAAGAACTCACAATGAACCATCAATGTAAACATGGATATTACTATCTAGATTTTCCTATCAAGCAGGTAGAGCATGATGACAGATCTTAGGACAAAAAGACACACAGACAGACCTGTGCATCCACTAGAGAACTGATAACTATATTTCACTTCAGGTAATGAATTTTCTAGTTAGTGTGAATGATTGCTAGCATTCAAACTGCCTTGATTCTGAGTGATACAATCCAGCCACAAAATAAGGTATATCTTGATCATCCCACTCTGCATGAATAAAATGAAGGGTTTGATTCTAAAAATTTGTACCTTCTCTTTATCAGTGAGTACACAAGAAACCCTCTATTTGTCAAATGTACATGCTAAAATGTGTGTTGAGATCGTGCATGAATCATTGCAGTGATGTAATGACAAGACAACAAAAAATCCACCATAAAAGGATAAAATCTCACCTCCTCTCTAAGTTCCAGTAATACTGAAGAAAGCTGAGTAGGATTTGGCCCACTCTGGAAGGTTTTTTTAATCTCTGGCTTTTCAAAATCTCTTTCACCACTACAAAAGTCTGAAAACAGCACTGCTGCTTCTGAAATAGAGTTTTTAATCCCTAATTTTGAGGGAGATACTTCCAAAACTCTGTCCACACTACCTTGCAGAGGATGTGGCCTTATGTCTTGCTGAGTTGCTCTGGAATATTTGCCAAAAGAGGCTAAACATGTGTCTCTTATTTTATGCTTTGCAACTGGACCTTTTGAAGGCTCCTTACACCCTTGGGGAGAGGCAGCATTGAGAAAATCTTCCCTGAGTCTTAAGGAAGGTCTTCCAGTAAATGCATCTTCTTTAAAAACCATTACAACCAACTGTTTGTGATCCATAAGTGGATCGTTATTCCATGTTGATATCAGTGACAAGTCCTTTGCATTTTTGTCCAGTTTAACATTTCCATTATTTTGCTTGAGAAGATGAGATGATCGGTGTTTGCTCTTGTGCAAAAAGATTCTTCCTTTTGTTTGAAAAGACAACAAACTTTGCACTTGACCATAGCTGGACTCCTGTCCAGTATCTCTTCTTCCATGTGCAGTTTTCTTCCTTCTGTTCAATTGAAAAATAAAAGGTTTTTGAACCTGTGAGATGAAAAAAGAAGTGAATCGTAAATACTAATCCTGACATTTGCTGTCTATTTACAGGCAGCACTTAAACTGAATGTGATGTTGACCAACATCTTCTTGGCGTGAAGTTACTGAGAATAAGCCATATATCACTGATAATTTGCGTTGAAGGTGAAAATCGGGGTAGTTCAGGCTACAAAGAATCGAAATCCAAGAACCGAGTTTTACAGAAAAATACACGTAAACATTTTAGCTCAGCCCCATATGCACGTTATTGTGAGACAAAGCCGAAGTCCCAAAGGAAATCGATTGTGTCTGACCGTTTTCGCCATTGTTTTATTGAACCGGTGATCTCCTTCAGAACGCTAAAGAATGCAGGTAAGTAGCAAAAGCAAAGTCCCGACATGAATTTCAAGCAGCAGAGGAACAAAATACACTAGAATAGCAAATGTAAATAAACAACAAAATTGTACATTACGTACTTTGCAAGGTTGAACTGCCAGCTGAGAATGTACATAGCAAACGACAGCCAATGGTGGTGTTCTTTGCACGTATTTGCACAAGAACTTTGGAGATGTCAAAAGACTTGAAGATGTCAAGGCCATACTTTTTCACATGGAATCAAAACTTTGCCCTATGCGATCTAGAGGCGTTCTTGCATAATACGACATGGCACACAAATCACTTTCGAAAAAGTTCTTGAGAGGAATCTGGGTACCAATTTGAGACCCCACTTTCCAAAGCCTGCGGTCTAATTCACTACTTATGCGTATATCCTGTGGTTTTTGTCGGGTTTCAAGATGGCTGCCGAAACACTAAATGATGAATTGGAATACGTAAAACTGTATAGAATTAGGCCTCTTTTACTTCATTTTTACCTAGCACCTTTTATACCCATCTACTTGACATGGCTTTACTTCTGGACGATGGTATATGGCGTTACAGATTATTTTGAAGCGGGTCTTATTGCTTTGGCAGCGATCGGAATATTACAAATTCTTTCCATGTTGTTCTGTCACTGGTCTGTTCATGTAAGATGTCTCTTCACCTGCTCACCGGTAAGAATACGTTTGGTTAATGTACATGCTCAGATTTTTGGTCGTGATGGCCAAATTACGGAGATTCATATGAACCAGAACTGTCGACATGTTAGACCAGCGAGGGGGATTTCTTTTATTAAATAATTTTATTTAATGTATTTATTTATAGTCAAGACGGTATTGTCACGACAATTTATTACCTCTTTTTTGGATGAATAAAATGAGAGGTTTTAATTAAAAATGAATTCAAGTTCAAAATTATTTCAAACTATTGTTGATTTCAAATACATTAGTACCTCAGTCCACGTCGAAGAAGAAGACATATCAATGTTATGAAAAATAAAAAAAAAGATGCTACTACAACAATTACTGAGGGAACAGCATGGAGAGAAGAATAAAATGCATAAAGAAGAACTGCTTTTTTCTCATCCGTAGGAAAATAGTCCAACTCTTGCCACAGTAATTAAGGTTGTTCCAACAGCAAATAATGGCTCCCCAGAGCTGCTCAATCTACACCATGAACAAGTAAGTGCTCACTAATGGCAGCCCAGGGCTGCTAGGATCCTCATTTCAAGTTTAGCTTAAAATGGGGGAATAATTACTTATTCAAAGAGGGTGCCCCCTAAAAAGAGTTAGTTATTTAGTCCTCTTTGTGTGCCTATGCATATAAGGTCTCAGCCAGAGAATGCCACTAATTTCTGTCATTTACCAGTCTATCAAGCTGCCCCCTTGTCTAGTAACTGTCCTGTCGATGTCAGTCCTAAGGCCAGATGTAAAAGAAGGAGGGTTGGTATTGGGCCTGACAACCCTATCCTGTAACCTGAGGTCACTAAATTGATGCCCTATAGAGGGAAGAGCCATTTTACATATTTTTCCGAGACTGATCATTTTTTTTTTCGTTTGCATACAGCATTTGTGAGTAAAAAGCAATGTTAACTTTGAATTGAAATGCAAAGCTGATAAGGCATAGCTTTTACTTGTTATCATGTTTCCATACTTAACTTAAAATGCTTACAAACTAAAATAAGTATGAAATGAAATGAATACCCTCTTGAAGGGTGAGGGTGAGAGCATGCAGACCTACGAAAAGAGTTCTAATTCACAATCAGTGCTTGACAGGCTACTATGTCTCAGTACCTTTTGGTAGAGTTTGGGAAGAGGGAAATGATTGTTTATTGTAGATTATGGCTGCTGTAAAGTGCTTTTTTGAGGAAAGCACCAATTGGATGATTTGCCATACCTCACAGTCTTCCTCAACTTTTTAGATAATATCTAAAGTTTATTTGGTTTAAACAAGATGCTACTTCAATCATCAAGCTGCAGGGTATGATGGGGAAATTTATTAACAATTATTCACTGAACAATGGCATGTATTTGTAGTTATGTAAATAAATATCAACATCTTACGTAACCGTTTAACTCCCACTTCAAATTTCTAATTTTCCTTACTGTCAACCATACAATTCTTATATTGTTAGTTCAGAGAATTTAGCATTGGATCAACTAATTATCCCCAAGTTGATATTTTTCTTTATTCTCATTACTTATCTGGTTGATATTGTATTGATATTGTAAGGAGAAATTCTGTGTGGGTCACTCATGGGAGTTAAAGGGTTAAATTGATGCAAAAAAGAAAAAACAGGACTAAAGTTATCATGATAGAGAACACAAGAAGACTGACTTTAGATTAATGAAGTTCAACTGCTTCATTGATAAATGTTTCATTTGTATTTCTTAGGATGGGGAGACACAAAAGGAAGTCATATATTTTAATTTCCAAAAGACAAAGTATGTGTATGATAGTGAAGAAAAGAAACAGTTCTGTCAGGTAGCTTTTCCAGTCAATGAAACTATGGATCATTACAACAGTTGTAAAGGTTATCAAGAGGAAGCAGAAGTTGAAAAAGGCAAGAAAATATACGGATCAAATGAGTAAGTTTTTTTTTGTTAGTTTGAGCATTATTCTTAGTAAAGAAAAGAAAATGTTATCTAAAACTTGATTATAGGAAGTTGTCGTGATGTGAATACTATAATTTTTGAGCTATCATAAATGGCTAAATTTTTTCTGGATTTTCTTAGAATTAAAATGTTCCAGGTTGTCTACACAAATCGTCACATTTTTCTCATAAACCAAAATACCATTTCATCTTCTGACAGCTCCACCTGTTTGTTTCAGTTCATGAAACATAGGTTTAGAAAATGTTGGATTGACTTTTGAAATTTTGGTTATGATTTTCATCAATAAAGGATAGCTTTACCCTTCCTGTAAATCCTGTAGCTGGGATCTTTGATTATCAAAAAACACAGGAAATAGAGGCAATGCAACAAACCTCTTTTTGGCTGTTGTATTTTAAAATTGGTTCAGTGGTAAAATGTTACACTTTGTTGTAAGTTATGAGTAAACAAGGAATGATAATAGCTTACAATATCATAGTAGTTTGAAAATGGTTGCAAGGGATGTGGGAAACAAAAATTCTCCCAGTAGTGAGGGTTTTTGTGACTTCCTCTCTTGAACTGTTTGAATTTATTTCTTTATCTATACTTGATCATCAAGTAGTTGCTGAAATCAAAATCTTCAGGGGTTATGCCATCTTTTCATCCACAGTTTTTTAGTTTTGTAGAATTTTCTATAGATTTTGTGATTTCAAAAGATTATAATTCACGGAATATTTAAAAAGTGTGCACAGTATTCTACAAACTGAAATAATTTCTCTAACTTATGTATTTTTTTTTTGTTTTATTAGGCTTCAGATGGATGTCCCAGAGTTCAGTGAATTATTCAAAGAAAGAGCTACAGCACCATTCTTTGTGTTTCAAGTGTTTTGTGTTGGATTGTGGTGTCTTGATGAGTATTGGTACTACAGCGTCTTCACTCTTTTCATGTTGGTTGCTTTTGAAGCTACTCTTGTACAACAGGTAGGTGTTGCCTACATGTAGCAAATATTGACCTCAAGGCAATTCAGTTATTGATCATTACTATCAAGATAATGGCAGGAGATCTCTTGCATATTACTTATATACCCTTAATTGAGTAAATATTGATTTTGTGGAATTTTTACTCCTTGCAGGTTATTATGGCGGCCAAGTGCTGCAATTTCTCTATGTTTATTTTTTCTCTTTGACCAGAGATATCGAGTGATTTTTTTTTAAATCAGTAATATTGTCACTTCACATTGGGTGATTACTGCAAGATATGATACAGACTCTGACCAAGGAGAGTATATTAATTCCTGGCTTCACATATTAACGTCATCCACTTTTCAGCAATTGAAAAATATGAAGGAAATAAGAAACATGGGAAGCAAACCATACTTGATACAGGTGAGATTCTAAAACAGTTGAAAGCAAAACAAGAGGAATTATATGCTTTTGAAACATGTGTTTCTTTTAATCAATGATTTGTTGTAAAATGTTTATTTTTTTTCTTAAAAAGTTAATAAGCTGCTGCAAAAGTATTTTCAAATACCAAGGTCATCAAGCAACTCATTATTGAGAGTTTTGGTGTAAATGAAGAAAATCTTGAGAACTAACTCATCCAAACTTTCTCAGAAGACTTGAGAACAAGTTTTAAATGTACTGGTCACATGTATCAATTGTGTTAGTCAATTGTCCATAAAACTTGCAGGTAACTCAACTGTCCTGTATCTAACACTGGTATGGTAATTATTTGTTAATGACAGGTATACAGACACAGAAAATGGAGACCCATCTTGAGCTCAGAACTTCTTCCAGGAGATATTTGTTCTATTGGTAAGCAAAGCTATAATGTTTTGGGAAGGTTCAAGAAGTTTACCTTTAGTTAATTTTCAGTTCATAAGATTCTACTGTTCCAGTTTTCCTTTTACAGGTAGACCAAAGAACTCTGATGTATTGATCCCATGTGATATGGTGCTATTGAGGGGCTCGTGTATTGTGGATGAAGCCATGCTTACTGGGGAGTCTGTTCCTCAAATGAAGGTACAGTGTACATAACAGTACATATAGAGTACAAGAATCATTGTGGATTTGAAAAATAAACAGTACTTAAAAATTGAACTACTCTATAAGGTTATGGACTAGCATGTGTATATGTGTAGACTAGATTGGACTGTTAAATTATGATGTCAGTGAAACTGGAGTAAAATCTATTTTTTGTAATAGTCATTGTAAAGTGTTTTGCCTGATTTTCCCCCACATTTCCTTTTACTTGCTGAATTTTGCAGAAGGTTTCTTCCCAAAGCATAATTCACTGTTTAGTTCAGAACATGAGCCTCTTATTGAATTTCTCATCACTTTTAGGAGCCAGTCAAGGATCTGCCAGGTGATGAAGTGTTTGATTTGGAGCAACACAGTAAACTACATTTGTTGTCAGGAGGGACAAAAGTTGTGCAGCATTCTCCTCCACTCAAGACTTCTGCTGGGTTGAAAGGTATTTCACAGTGATTTGACAGCAACATGGCTTGGGTAATTTGACATTTATTTTACATAATCTACTGGTTAACAGATCAGAGTTTTAAAATATTTTAATATTTAACATTTTAATTTAATTTTTAATATTTTAATATCTTAAAAGAATGCTTTAAGTCTGTTTTTTTGTATAGAGCAAATTTTCATCTAACTCAAAGGAAATTTCAACACATTGGTTTGGTAAGAGAGATAAGGGTCAAAATGGAAAGAAAAAAGAACAAAAACAAAAAGGATGGCCAAGGATGGGGAAGATTGACATAGAAAACAACAAGAAAATAGAACAATCTTGGTACAGTTTTCCAAAGTTAACACACAGAAACTCAATGTGACTAACTCACACAAATCACACAAACCCACAATTCCTCTATGCACTTTGGTAAAGTGTTATCACTTGAAATATCAGCTTGGGAAAATCTTCATGGTGGCCAATTTACATCATCAACTCAGTTGATTGAACCAAATTATCAATGGGCACTTCATGCAGTGTTACTGATTTTATTGACCCTGCATATGTAAATTTACCTCCATAGCTCCTGACAATGGATCTATAGCCTATGTTTTAAGAACAGGATTCAATACATCTCAGGTGAGATACTCTAGAATGACCATTGGCTATGCATTTTGCAACTGTCATGACATCAACCTCTTTTTAGTTTGGATTCAGCACAGATACAAATACAGGTACATAGCTGGCAAAACATTAGCACAAGTTGAGCTTACCAAAAAATATTTGAAACAGTTTTCTTCTATCACCGTTGAGGAAAACTGGTGTAACAGTGTTTTCATAAGCCCACAAGTGTCAAGTAGATTGTGGTGGTAATAATGTTGACTCCAGATTTGTACCTCTTGAGCTATTTTTTTGTTTTTGTTTTTGTTGTTGTTGTTGTTGTTGTTGTTGTTGTTGTTGTTGTGTGTATTTGGATCAAATGCCTGTGTTGTTTAGTCTGTTGCTAAATCATGAATCTCAGGGAAATTTTCCCGTTAAGTGTAATTGTTATTTCAGCAGTTGAATACCTGTCAACTTGTGGCAAATTAAATGTACTAGTAATTTGTTTTAAAGTGGTAATAATTTTGAGGTTCTGAAATGTGACTTTGTTGTGTAATTAACAGGGAAAACTTCTACGGACTATTTTATTTGGTGTGAAGCGAGTCACAGCCAACAATTTGGAGACATTTCTCTTCATCCTATTTTTGTTGATATTTGCTGTTTCAGCTGCAGCTTATGTCTGGGTCAAAGGTAAGCAGGCAGGACCAGTGTTAGGCCATTTTTCTCCTGAAATTTGTAACACTTAGACGATTGAAATGTCAAGAAGCCCTTTGAAAAAACTTTTCAGCTGAAAACTAAAATCATTTAAGCTTTAACTGCATAAGGAATTTCTACCAGCCCAAAGAGTAAGTACCTACATGTATTTTTTTTGTATCTGAAGGTTTTACCTCATGACAAATTCACCCTTACCAGTTCACCTTCATCACAACAAGTTCGCCTTAACTTTAACCAAATCATCCACAAGCCTCACTAAATCTTTTTCTCCTTATTTTAGGTACTACATGTCAGAATTGTTGATAATCTAATTATGACTTTGGATAAAGTAACTTTGAAACTTAAAAAGCACAGGACATGTTCAGCAGCGTTTTCATGATACATTGTTATTTAAGTGTTGCTTGAAGTTAAATCAATTATTAATTACTTCTTGTAACAATTTGGTGACGTGTAACTTGTCTTGCAATTGTGGCAAAAAGCAAGAAGAAGAAAAAATTTCCTGTTGTGTTTGAGTCTTTCCAGAATGTCTGTTATTAGATGGTGTTGTTTAAATAGTATCAAAGGAAACTTCATATGTACATGTATTTGTCTCATGTGGAAAGGTCTCTTGGTGACAGATGCTTTATGATTCCACATAGTTATTGACATTAATTCATTTGTGTGTTATTCAGGTACTGAGGATCCCAAGAGAAATCGCTATAAGCTTTTCTTGGAGTGCACTCTTATTTTAACATCAGTGGTTCCACCAGAACTTCCGATTGAATTGTCTCTTGCTGTGAACTCATCACTGATGGCACTACAAAAACTTGGTAAGCAGATTAAGGTCCTAAGAACACTACTTTGCTCCTTCTCTCCTCCTAATGTTGTGGATTTTTTTTTCTATAGGTGTTTACTGTACTGAGCCGTTCAGAATTCCTTTTGCTGGAAAGGTTGATGTGTGCTGCTTTGACAAAACAGGAACTTTAACAAGTGATAACCTGATAGTGCAGGGAGTTGCAGGACTCAAGTAAGTTAGCACTAGTGTAATAGTTGATGTCTTCGAAATTTCAGGAATTCTCTGACTTTTAAAGGAGGCTAGCTCAGGCAATGCACAACGGTTACAGGATGTCATGTTTTAGTGTCCTTTTATGCACCCAAAATTATCGACAAAGCAATGCGATCTTGACAAATGAAACCAATTGAAAATTTGAACTCCTCTTTGTATTGATCTCGCAGCTTCTTCTTCAGTTTTTTTCTTTTCATTCGTTTACTTTTCGCTTCCTTGAACTCCTACTATTCGCGAACTGCAGTTCATTTCAGTGGCTTGCTCTGTAGACAGTTTCTTCAAATTCAGAGGTGGGATTGCTTTGTAATTCATTTACTTTCTTTATTATAGAGATGATGATGAAGTGTGTACAGTTAGTGATATCCCTGATGATACAGCTTATGTGTTGGCCTCGTGTCACTCGCTCGCTTTTCTAGATGATAGTTTAGTGGGTGATCCTCTGGAAAAAGCTGTGTTACAAGCAGTAGATTGGAGGTTAACGAGAGGTGAGGATCATCCGTTCTAAGTTGAGACCATCACATACGTACTCGTTTAAAAACAAAAAAGAAAGTAGGAAACATAAGAGAGAGAAAACAAAGCTTCTTCTGTGCTTAATTACGTTAAACCAGGCTTTTCCTTATTCGTCATATTTGACATGCGTACTTTTCAAATGATTGGTTTCATGAAGAATTTTACGCATCTTCAGCCTTTTTCGTACAACTCGCCCGAAGGTTCGTGCTACTGCTCACCTGTTCCCTGAGTCATTTCACGGCCAACGAACAAACGGAACATTCTGATCCACCCTACAGGGGCTATGTGAGGACCAATCCGTCATCCAGCTGGTCCCTGTACGTCCTATGTTTGGATCAGTACTTACAAAACAGTCACCGCCTTTAATTTCACTTAATCATTTATAATTATTATTGTTATTATTATTATTATTATTATTATTATTATTATCATCATAATCTTTATCATTATCATTATTATTAAGTATTATTTTTTTACACTCAGGCGACATTGTCATGCCAAACAAAGGTAGACGTGTCTCTATGCGTATCGTACACCGCCATCATTTCTCTAGCGCTCTGAAGAGAATGTCAGCCATTGTATCTCTACAAAATCCGGGCTCTTCTTCCAGTGAATATATTGTCACAGTCAAAGGAGCTCCTGAAACTCTGAGACCGATGGTAAGAGTTGGTATGAATGTTGTAATTTAAGTGGCTATCACAATTTAGGTGGAATTATTTGGAAGACTTCAAGTGATACAGTGCTTCTGAAGTGCTGCCTCCTCGTATTTAAATAGGATCTTTCATAAATTTCTGGCTGGTTTTTGTGGGAGATTTTTTGTTGTGTGTGTGTGTTGTCCAAGAACAGGACTTGATTAAGCCACGAGTAATGGGATGTTATCAGTGCGACGTCTTGTTCTCTGAAACTGTACTTGTTTTACGTCATGCTGTGATTCTGATTGCAGTACAAGAACGTTCCGAGGAACTACGACGCCATTTACCATAGAATAACCTGTCAAGGAGCTAGAGTTTTGGCGTTGGGCTTCAAAAAGATAGGCGAATTAGCAGCTAGGGAGGTATGAAAATTCCTACCAACTAATATTTCACTTTATTGCGATTGATTTAATATCTAATGTTGCTTTGTAAACTACCAATGCTCAACTCATGCCTGGAAGGATATATGTAGGTCGCTTCTTTTCTGCTTTTTTCAAAACATGAAGCTGTCCAAAATCATTTTCAAAAGGAAATAAAGAAGTTTCTTGGGAAAACAAGGGTTACTGGCAAGAAGGATGATAGAAACTTATGGGAAGCTTGCAAAACAGGTGTCCGACTGCTGTACCTGTCGTGTAGTCTTTTCTTCAACGTTGCATAGTTAATGTTACGAAAGTCCTTATAGATCGCTACTTATTGTTAACTGTATCTTTCCTCTCGACAGATCCGTGATATGAAGCGTGAGGAGTGTGAATGTGACTTACAGTTCGCGGGATTCGTTGTGATCGCGTGTCCATTGAAGACCGACTCTAAGGCAGCCATCAAACAGATACAAGAATCGTCACATCATGTAAGGATCGATGATTGAATCAGAAAGCAAAAGAAAAGTAATATTGTACTGTTAGACTTAAGTTTAGAGTTCACCAGTTTTTCCACAAATGCAAGTAGCAGTGCCACGTTACTTCTTTGAGGGTTCAATTGAGCTTTGTACTTCCTCAGTGCTTACATTTATTTTGTGATTTTATCTCTCTCTTTCTTAACCAGCTGACTATGATCACCGGAGACAATCCGCTGACTGCATGTCACGTGGCACGCGAGCTGCGGCTCACTAGGCGTGAAATAGTGGTTCTGTCACCACCAGAGAGCTCAAATAATCATGGTATTGTCTACTGAGTTTCATTTGCACTTGCTGAGGTCTAAACTATGTTTCGTTCTCTGATGACTATCGTCTCCGTTTTTCTCTCGTCATACAGTTGAAAGCGAGTGGCACTGGCAGCCAGTGGATCGCTCTTTCAGTCTTCCCATTATTCCATCAGGCGGTATCAAAGAGTTGACGTCCAAATTCGATCTGTGTGTCACAGGCGAGGTAATTTACTATTGTGTACTTCCTTGTTGTGTTTTCTTCGACTTGAATTTTATGGGTCATGTAACAGTTTTTGCTCATTTATTTTGCAGGCATTTTCCTACTTACAATCTACAGAAAAATTATCAAAGTTTTTTCACGCCATTGTTCAGAATATACAAGTATTTGCCCGAGTAGCTCCTAAACAAAAGGTAACATAACAGTTCGATGAACAGCAAATTCTTCAGAAAGTAATTACATGTATTTTGTTTCTTACTAACTGGCCTTTGGCTCCCCCAGGAACTGGTCATAACCAAACTCAAGAGTAAAGGTTTTGTGACTTTAATGTGTGGTGACGGAACCAATGATGTTGGAGCACTCAAGCATGCGCATTGTGGTAAGACATCTGGTTGCTCACATCTGATGAACGAGCCTGTCGCAGGTTCTCTCAGCGATGTGTAGCCAATAAGTGTACACCTTCCAGAACCATTGTGAATCAATACCCTGATGATTTTAGAGTGCATTTATTTCGATTGAAAATTACGAATCAGATCTCTAAGGTTAAAGGTTAAATACAATTTTCAGGTGTGGCCCTGCTCGCTGGAGCGCCCGAAAAACTACCAGAACACGGAAAGAAGAGTGCTCACAAATCCAAAGAAGAAAAGCAATCCACACCAGTAAGTGGACAATTCCAATTTTCTTCTTGGAAGTTTCTTGTCCTATGCTCCTAGATGCGTTGTTAGAAAACCGTTACGAGCTGTCAGACTGTCTCTGTAGTACTAACTGAGATGAGTCGTCTAAACAAGTCGTTTATGGAACAAGCAATAACTATTATTTCTCTTCTTCATTTCAGGCACAGTCAGACGATAAAAGTAAAAACGATTCCATTAAGATAGTTTCAAGAAGCCATCTTCCCCCTGCACCTGTCAAAGGAGCTTCACGGGCAGCTAAGATGCGTGCTGTGGCAAGGGGGGATGACACAGCCTCCAATTTGAAACAAGAGCAGCAGGTGAGATGTCACAGGATACTTCGATATCTTTCCTTGATAACCTGTCCATGCACAGGGAGGTAACCTTTTGATATGCTTATGTCGAGTTAACGGAGATTAGCAACACAGCTCGTCAATTTTCGTAATGGAGATAAGAGTAATATGGTTTTATCAACTGAGTTGATGTTGTAAATTGACCACCGTGAAGAGTTTCGAAAGCCTTTGCTGCATTTTACCAGGGTTATGAAGATTTCACCTTTACGTTTTTTGCTTATTGCACTGTATTGTTCATACTTCATCAATTAACATGATCAGCACGGTCTTTGGACTTAAGATGAGTCAAATGTTTTCATATATCCATTGTCAGATATCTAGTCTCTAGAAATATTTTGTCTTTGAGGAAATCATCAGTCGTTTTTCAATGGTGGAAGCTAAATTAGGCATTGAACTTGGAAAACATAAGACAAGCTTGCCTGAGCATCTTTTCCCTTGTGCATCATTCCATTGGTTTCTTAGTTCTAATTGGCCTATCTGGTCTCCACCAGTCATCATAGAAACCGCTCATTTCTTGTTTTGTTGTTTCTAGAAACGAATCCAGGAGATGTTAAAGCAGATCGACGAGGCGGATCAACCTCAAGTTGTACGTTTGGGAGATGCTTCAATTGCGTCACCTTTCACCTCTAAACTATCGTCTGTCATGGCAGGTAAATAGAAGATCAATTGGTCTGATTCACTTTCTAAAACACTTGAGCAATTTTTATGTGAGTCTCAAGAGTAATCATGTGATCGCGGCTTATTGACCAATCAGATGACTCCTTTTGATATTTTCCCATGTCCTGCTCAGCCATTACAAACAGTTTCTTTTTTGCTTCAACGAGAATTAACAGGAATGGGCTCTAATGGAGTTTGGGTGTTAAGCCATCTTGCATCGTGACTTATTTTCTCCTAACGTCGCCTGTAACTCTGATCACCAGCTTGTTAATCCTTTACACCCTAGCATCAGTGGGCATATTCTCCAAACTGTACCCTGTACATTTCCTAAGGTGCTGACAAGGAGAAGTTGTTTAACGATCAAGAACGCCTTTCGGTGGCGATTATTACCTTTATTCTCGTCACTTTATTTTGTAATCGAGGGGATAAATTGTCAGGAGAAATTAGATGTCAGCCACTTACAGGGATCAAAAGGGTTAACATGCGTCTGAATCACGACGATGCGGTACTCTTTTTCTAAACTGCGCTCGCAAATTGTTTGTATCGTATCATCTCGTTCATAAGTCCCGGTACAAATATAGATGTTAAGGCATGCCACATACGCGGAGCACATCACTAAGGGCAAAGAAGGTAGCAAGGAGGCGTTGATCTCCAGCTGATCACTAATTGATGTTTGTTTTTAGTTTGTCACATCATCAAACAAGGTCGATGTACACTTGTCACCACTCTACAAATGTTCAAGATTCTTGCGTTAAACGCACTCGTGCTGGCCTATAGTCAAAGTGTGTTGTATTTAGATGGAATTAAGTTCAGTGATGGGTAAGTTGGAACTAAGTTTTCTTCATTTAACCCCTGTTCAAACCAAACGCATCAAAACGGCTCAGTACTGCAGAGGAATGGTTGCTACCAAAATTTTCGAGATCTCCAAAATACCAGCTGTAACGAAGTTTCAATGCTCCATATCAGCCTGCGCAGGTGACAATGACCACTGACTAGACAAGCCTGCTATGCTCGTGTCGGTTAATTCTGTTAAATTTTTTAACTTAATATACACTTCCATACACTTAAGATTCACTCCCATCGAGTATGAATTATTAGTGTCCGCTGAGGACCAGAGTTAGTAGTTGATACTAACCCTGCTTAAGCGTCCCTAGGTCATTCCTCGTTTACTTGTTCGAGGGGGGGGTTACCTCTAGTTATGATTTAATAGTATAATCTTCGGTGTTGTGCCTCTCTTGCAGACAGGCAACGTTACAAGGCGTTCTATTGGCTGGCTGCTTTCTATTCATTTCACGTTCTAAGGTGAGAAAATAACAAAAAGCTCATTCGTGGGGGTCGAGAGCTCGATGCCACCAAATATGCACCAATGATGATTTGACTTCCCACAAGACAGTTATGTCGACTAGATCTGGATTAGTGCGGCTGTCAAGCGTTCCTTGAGAAACTCGCCTTACTACCTTTGCATTTAAGTTCTATTGCTCGTCCCTCCAAAATTAAGAACGCTTGCCCTTCCCCGCCCATTCTTGATTAGCCCTTTGCCTGGCAAGATCTGATGCACAATTCTCCTTCCGAGGCGCTTTACGTTTCCTCCTAGATTTATAAAGAAAATTTTGTGTAAGATCAAGGTAGCACTCTGTCCTGGATAGCGTATTTTTGGGTCTTTTAGAGTATAAATGAAACACGCCTGGGTTAGTAGGTCAAGCTAACATCCTTTGCAGTCTTCCCCAGAAAGATAAGTTTATCGGGAAGCTGATGTAGGGATGTGGGTTTTGTTTTGGTAACATAATATATATAAAAGGGTAAAAGGGTGGTTGGCTTCCGATCTCCTCTTTGTATGAGTTAGTACGAGTGAACTTTTGTCGTCAGTGGTGTGACAAATGCTGAAGTGTGTAGAGAGCAAAGTTATCAGGTACCCATCTCGATGGGTGAAAACTTATTATAAAATTTGATGACAATTACAACGTAATTAAAGGCCACTTTCTTGCCTGTTGCATGAAGACCTTTAGATTTTTTGTGAAACCACTTTATTCATGGCTCTTTTGGTGTCTCTTTCAGCCTCTGTCGATTCTTTCTAAACGTCGTCCTCTTCCAAACATATTTAATATGTATACCATAATAACGGTACTAAGTCAGTTTGCTGTTCACTTCTGGGCTCTCATATTTATGGTACAACAAGCAAAGCGTCTCACCCCGACCATGTGAGTAATTGCATCGTCTTACTGTACACTTTAAATGAAAAATTAGAGCTGAAATGGCAAAGTGTTTTGCTCCTAAGCGTCAAGTTGGTAGGTTGATGAAAGCTGTGAGATGCACGGTTAACAACAAATAAATGAATCAGTGCCATAGCTCAAAATGGCTCCCCCTCAGACCTTATGCAATAAAATTCGAATTTGGCCAAGGATGGCTGATATTACGAGTATATGTAGATTTGACTTTAGATAAGTCAACCAATTTAGTTCATCAATTTAGTGTGATCATCATCATGTTTTCCGTCTTTTGCGCTGTTTGCCAATTTGACCGCCCTTTGTTCTGTGATTGGTCGACAAAGATAGCACCACCTTCTCAACCAATCGAATAAACTGAAAACGAAACCCAAATGCAACCTAGTGTGGTGAATGCCAATTTTCCCGCCCTTGAGGCGGTCGTGACTTGTTGACTTTCAGTTCTCATTGTTTCCATATGATATTTCCCTTTTTATGATTGGCATTTTGGCAACCATCGTTTATTTTTAACGAGGCTCAATGGGAAAGTGGTTCCGTGGTAACTATCAGTTAATCATGGTACTTTCCCCTCATTCTTTCATTTTAAGCCGAGATCTTTGTCTCCGGGTGTAACATTTTTGCGTATGCTTTGCAGGAACTCACAGCATGTTGACTTAGAAGCAAAGTTTCAGCCGACTATCGTAAACAGTACAGTGTACATCGTCTCAATTGCTATGCAACTGGCCACGTTCGCTATCAACTATAAGGTACAGTCGCAAAGACAGACAATAAAGCACTTTCCCTGAGTCATGCTAGTTTGGTTTTCACTTGGTTAGCTCTGAACACGTTGGGATGATCTTGTCAAACCAGCGCACATACTTGAAATATGATTATGTACTTACTGACGGAGTGGGAGGGGTTGAGGAGAAAATGTTTTATACGAGGTCACGACGTACGGATCAAGCGCAGCAAGGCTCGTGCGTCATGATCGAGAGCTACATATTTACCCGTCCAGTCAAACCAAACTGTCAATAAGTACTCATTTATATGACTTATAAGTTTTTTAAAACCAAAACTAAAAATTCTGTTTAAATCTAAAGAGGATACAATTAGTATAGGAAACAACATGACTTCAGGTATAATTTGGTGTTAATAAGCACGAGTAACTGTTTTAAAGACTACAAAATTGCACGAGCCCGTGTTGATTATTTACATGAAAAACGCAATAAAGAAAGTCAAGACGGACGAAGTTTTGGCAGCGCGCGCGCTACTTGTAATTTACACTCGTGTTACATGAAATTGCACTCGTTTTAAGCCAATCAGACTCGCTGACTTTTTGATGTATATTAATACATACTTAAGAAGAGCGCGCACTAGACACTTTACAATAAAAAAGAAAAAACTTTTTCATGATTTCTTCTAGTCAGAGTAATGATTTCGTAATTCATCTAAAAAACGCGACTTTTTTTCTAGTGCCCCTTTTCTTTTAAGTTAGAATAGAATCCACGGAAATGTAACGGGGCCGCGTGAGTGTGGCTTATTACCGACTCTTGTCAACCCTTCCGGCTCTTAACACGTCAGCTTTCATCATGGCTTTTTACAGGACTGCATGGTCAGGGCTCTACAAGTTACATAATAATTAAGTGTAATCCTTGAGTATTTCAATTTTAAAAATTTGCGCTGCGTTGCGCAGTTTTCCTTGTTGAAGATTTTCTTTGATCTCTTGCTGTTGTGTTCCTTCGCTTACATGAAACATCAAATCTTTGAAATGGGGCGTACGCGTGATTACTATTGCTCAATCTCACATAAATCATCTCTGATTGGTGATAATGCAGTTCGTTATACGACAGATGTTTGTCAAGCATCAATGTTAAGTGTTTCGAATGCATTTTACAGGGTCACCCATTTATGGAGAGCCTGCTGGAAAATAAGGCCTTGCTGTACAGTCTGTTAGCCTCTGGTGGATTCATCGTGTGTATGATCACGGGATCTGTCCCCGAAATAAATCAGCAGTTTGAAATCGTGTCCTTCCCTCCTAAGGTAAACGTCAGTTTAATGTACCACACATAGTACTGGTTGTACTACTATACTTTTGTGAGAAACCTTGATGTACTGTTGCTGTTTGTTTTCTTCCTTTTGTTTCAAAGTATATTACTTTTTCAAGATTTAGTATAAATTCGTGCAACTCGATACTAGAACTTGTGGCTGTTTTATTTTTGTTTTTTTAACTTTCACTTAGGGAATCCTCGCTTCCGTTTCACCTTGCGGGCGAGGGTATGGCTACACATATTCTACCTGAAATGAAAATAAACTTAATTGTAACTGAAACAAAGGGTTTTCATTGGGGATTTATCCTCTTGTTCTCACCTATCTCGTTTTAGTTCCGTGAAACATTCATGCATGTCCTGCTAGCGGATTTCGTGGCAGTGTTCGTCCTGGACAGAATATTAAACTATTTGCTCGGTAGTGCAAAGCTTCGGCAGCATTGATGCAAGGACACACAAACTCCTCCGAATAAGACGCATTTCTTCAGCCGAACATCTTCGACACCCCGATTGATTCCAAGGACCACGATGATGTCCGATGGCGAGCAGAGGATTTTTTTTTTAGAGAATGAGAAGGATTGCGAAATATAATATTCTCTGTGATAGATTAGCTAGACCCTAAAGATAATTGCTTTGCAAGCTGTAAAGAAGGCAAAAACTGAAGATTAAATTGTTATTTGTTACAGAGCAAAAGATGAAATAAACGTGCTCGTTTACCACTCGTGGAATGGATTCTTGACTGATATCAAATGATTCCATGTCCAAGGGGGAAGGAGAGGGAGACTGTCCCTACACTTAGTAAAGCAGTAATCAATGTGACTTACTCCAGTTGGAAAGCTTTGCACATAGTACGTGAGTAAACGGAGGCGTTACCGCCTGATTCGCACAGACACACGAGCCTACATCTGGAAATATTTGAGAAATTTTAATGTCTTTAAGAATTTCCCGTGATGTCGGCTTGCGAAATTCATTGAGTTGACCTTTCCAAATGTTACTTCATTTTATGTATCACGAGGCTTAAAATCAAAGCTGACCGTCACTAATTTATTTTTTGAAGTAGAAAGGACAACAATTATCATATCCCGGCTACTGATGGGTTTGGCTTATCAACCATCCGAGAAGGCTGAGCACCACATGTACTCTATGCCAATGTTGTTAACAATAGCCTCAAATGCGCACCACGTTGAGTACTTATTAGTAATTCTTTCTCTGAGCGCTTATTCGAGCCAGTTAGGGAACATTTGAATTGGGGAAAGTCCCGTTGGAAGGTTGAAGCGAAAGTTGAAAATTCACCTTTCTGTGGCTTACGGAAATTACTCCCTTTTTTTCCGATCAGAGTGCGCGCGAAATAGTTACGTAACCATCAGCAAGCATTAGCCGCTGAATGCGCGACATTTTTCGATCTCATTGATAAAGTTGTTCCCTAGAAAACGTGGGAGAAGTTTATTCGGAAGCAGTGGAAATAGGATTATCTAGGAGGTGCATCTTCTTAGCCGGCTACCGACTTGCTCTTCCATAAGCACTCGAGATAATATTCAGGGTTTTTTTTTTTTTTTCGGTAAAGTTAGTACACGGTTGGATGCATTCAGTACGGTGCCTTGGATTATCTCTCAGTTACAAAAACATAGCTGACTGAAAATAATGATTATGATGAAAGTGATACTATTGATAACAACGACAACGTGCGCGTAAATATAATTTTGTGAAAACTTCAAGGGCCGGTTATTTATAAGAGGTCCAAGCCAAACCGCGGTTTTACGCAAGTAGTGGGCCTCGGGGATTCTTTTCAAAAGGTTTGAATTAACTAAAGAAATGTCCCTCCACTATTAGCCTTCGGCCCTCCTTGTTCACAAAAAATAAAAGGTTCGGCTCAATTGAGGATAACTTAGAACAAACAACCTGCCCTAACTGTGTTAGCAAGGTCTCGCCCTCCTTGATATTTTAAAGGCCGATTTTCTTAATCTAGAACTTCAAAGTTGTATAAAAGTACCTCCGCTTTGTGTCTTTTTCTTATAAGCTTGATGAAGTCAGCAAATTTTTTGACGCGTACTGCTTGGCAGTCTGTCACCCATTGGCAGAAAAGAGGTTGCCGAGTCTCCGCTAACAGAGTCTTTTAAAGGTTTCGAAGTGCAAAATGAATTACTTGCGAATTAATCGGAAACTCAGGTTTCCGATAAATTGTTTCAATTTTTTGCTCCTTTGTGTCTTTTATTGTTTCATCAGCATATTTGCTATATATACGGCAAATTTCAAAGATAAAGCTCCTGGTAAGAATCTCCTTGCCTTGAGTGTATTACACAGAATAAATATATGTTCATAACTGAACTGCACATGTATTGTAAATAATGATTGAAAATGTACGCAAAGCATCTGTTAAACATTTACAAGTCTATAAGTTCAGTCCGAATTGGCCAAACAAGCTCGATAAGCTTGCTGTTGCAAAGGCGCCCTGCAAATCCCTGCACTCTTTTCATCAGATGGGCACCAAAGAACATTACTAGGTTTTGGAATGAAGTTTAAGTGTGCTGTCGTTTAATTTGTCACCAATATCGCGCAGAGCCCCACCAATTTCTCTACAAAGTCTCCGTTCAGAATCACCGATGACAGCATGGCAGTCAGCTGATGAAATTTTTTCACTTTGGGGGCTATTTCCGTCTCTTGTTTGACAACTTAATCGTCTTTGTCTCGTGTTAGTCTCATTTGAAATGCTCTGTCGACTGAAAAACTTGAACCCCATTTTGCCTGTGTGATAAAAATAGAAAGTTAAACCAATCAAAGGTTCACTAATTGCTAAAAGCGCATTTCCTCGAATAACTGCCCACGGTTTAATAAACGCCCTCCACTGAATAAATGTCAACCCCCAAGGCCATGATGTCAAACAAGCCCCCACCTCCCTCACCTTCTTTACTAGTAGAGATACATGGAAAACCTGTTTCTATTGCCACGTTTGATAATTTTTTAAGCTTCAACTATTGCGGAATCCGTCCAGGAGAATAGTTTCTTTTCCATTTGGTCACTTCCAGTTACTTTTCTATCTCTACATTGACTTCAGTAATGTCATCGTGAATTATGTTGTAGTTTTTGTCTTTCTATGAAAGATTAAGCCCTAAAAAGTTACCTTTCGTTGAAGGAAAAGTTAATAAGATTCCTCCTCATAATAAGCGCCCCTCCGAAATCTCAAATAAGCGCTTGAGAGCCTTCTTAAGGAAATACGATATCTGAAAAAGTTTTATGTATAAGCAAAAAAAATGGACTACACAAAGTAAGGCCTTTTCCTCACCGTTTGGTTGAGCTCGTTGTAATTACAGAGAAAATGACGCAATTCTGAACGATACTTGTTGGCACTGTTTTTCAACTGCTATTTTGAACTGAATGTTTTAGATCTACATAGATGTGAAAAATTATTTTTACCAGTATGGATTTAGTTGTTAGCCTCTTAAAAGAGAGAAAACCATTAAATTGTTCAATGAGGATGAAAATTGTTCGGATGATAAGAATCGTAAAATTTTTGGAGTATTGTTCTCAAAATTGTTCGGATGATAAGAATCGTAAAATTTTTGGAGTATTGTTCTCAAAATTGTTCGGATGATAAGAATCGCAAAATTTTTGGAGTATTGTTGTCAAAATTGTTCGGATGATAAGAATCGTAAAATTTTTGGAGTATTGTTCTCAAAATTGTTCGGATGATAAGAATCGTAAAATTTTTGGAGTATTGTTCTCAAAATTGTTCGGATGATAAGAATCGTAAAATTTTTGGAGTATTGTTTTCAAAAGCCGCTGTCTTGAGAAGTTTGTTGTTTTTATGTGCGCTTAACTGTTGTGAGAGTATTGCTAACACTGCATTACGTGAAATAACTGACCTGTGAGTTCCATTTGTCTCAATTCCTTCCGCTGTTATGTAACTTTCCTGTCTTGTTGCGTCTGTATGTTTGAAACACCAGTATTATTAGTGACCGTTAAACATTGCCTTTGCGCATAATATGCATAGCTACTAACGCTGACCCTCCACTTTAAACGTGATTTTGCACGCCACCTTTTTGTGAAGGCCTCGTGGCTTATGCCCTTTGTTTTATAATAACAGTACCTGGATTCGGTCTCTGCCGCGCCAAGTTTAAGACCTCTTGATTCTTTGTCTACAAACTGTTATAACCCTACTTGTCCTCCACCTGCCAGTTGGAATTTTAAGTCACTTTGTATATTTGCAGATTTTTTTTCATTCCATAGCGTGAAAGGCCAAATGAGGAAGTTATCTATGAAGTTTTTACTATTATGACGTGTTTCTCTCCAGTTTACTGATACCTATCTGCTGCTCTCTGGCACAACACTTTCCGCAATGCATGAGGACGGAATTTTGGTCACTTTTATATTTGGATAACTTGTTCCATTCTAAGGCCTGAAAGGTGCCAATGAAGAAGTTGTTACCATTATTACGCGCTGATCTCCTTTTGGGTCTTCTAGGACATGTCTAAGCAACTCCCTGCTGCTCTGTGGTAATGCGTGAGCAGTTCTGAGGATAGCGGTGGATCCAGTTTACTAATCTACTATCTGACAGGAGTTAAAATTCCTATCTAATCACAGCTAAAAGTCCTGTCTGACAGTAGTTAAAAGTCTTATCTGACAGGGGGTATCTTTTTAGGAAATGATTAATCGGTCGAGAAGGTTACCTTGGCCTTGCTATGATCACGGGACTGGTAGTTGTCATAATAATTGAACTTTGGTTCAAATCTTACCATCACATTACGTGTCATTCAGTCTTAATTATGTTATCTTTGAAAGATGAATCCATTGACCTTCCAATAATGGGAAAAAAAGATATCTTTATCAAAGGCAACACTTATATGATTCCTTATTTCCTATCAGTAAATCTTGTTTATAATATCCCGCAAATCTCCCTATTTGTTTAAAGCCTGCAAACTGCTGATTGAAGAATATCCAAAGGCAGTTAAAAAACTCCATTGCAATCCTTCTCAGGAGCTTATATATATGGCAACTTTTTGCTTGGCTTCTGGATGATGTGAGAAGGTTTTGTTGAACTTCCTTTGAATTGGCTGCCGTAGAGAGATTCTAAAGCTGACGTTTTGAGTATTAGCCCTTTGTTACTGCGAAGGGCGAACAGATTTTCTACGACAAAGGGCAACGCTCGAAACGTCAGCATTAGGAACTCTTCACGGCAGCCAATACAAATTGTTAACTCAGTCGATAAAAACAATTTATTGAACTAAGTGTTAGCGGTTAATCGTATACTTCTTGACCAAAATACTTCAACCTACACTAAGCCTTTTCAGTTTGCTTGCACAACGCCTGAGCTGAACCAGATAATCAACATTAAGTTACGTTAAATTTACAAGTTCCGAAATAAATATGAATAACTTTTACATGTGCATGCACAGGCGGCGCAAGCTCCAGCTGTAAGATGATCGTCTTGCATCCATTTCTAGGTATAA